TAGAATTAAGCCTATGATTCAAGGGAGTTAAGTTAGTTCGGCTATCATGAAGGAAAAGTGAAGGAGCGATTAAAGGTTCAAATTTTGCGACTACAAAGAGCTCCAGAAGTGTTAATTTTGTTAAATTTGAATTGGAACACAAAGTTATAAATCTGGAAAATTTCGAGATTTGGAATAGAAGCATTAAAGAGTTGATTTCAACATTGATACAAGTCTGGACAATTATTTCAGATTTAGAGAGAAGGGGTTCTTGTGTAGGATAACACTCCCAGTACAAGTTTAAAACCATTACGATTGAGGAGTAGAGCTCACTTGCACCAAGATGTTTGGAATTTTTGAGGAGTTAGAATATTTATAGCAAGTTTATAAATTTTTGCTATATGCAATATATTATTAGATTTTATATTATGCATTGTAAATACATCTATATATATATATATATATATGTAAGTATTAAGATTTTTATATAGCTAAGACTCGAGGGATGTAAATTCTCTCTTTTTTTTTTGCGCCGATCTCATCTTGATTTTTTTGGAACGTGACAATAAGTTGTATTCCATTGTAGATTTATTTTTTTAACTAATTTTTTGATCTACATAATTCAAGTATTTGTATCTCATAGAGAAGACTGTAGGAAATATAAGGTATACCAAACAATTCATTGTAAACGTACACTTGAAGCATTGGCGCATTAATTTGTCTTCACTATACCATTTCTGAAACATTTCTTTACATTCCGCACCTATGATTATCTACTGTTCCTCATTACACCAAGTATGTGAATAAATTAACTTCGTCTTCGAATATTGCATCAATTTTTCTTACGTACATTGATGCGCTTTAACTTTAATCCCCTGCCTTCACCCCTTCATTAACTTATTCAAATATGCAATTCACATATATAACCATATAAACTGTACCCATAGTATTTATGAAACATATATTTAGTTAATGAATTTTTGTATTAACACTGTGTATTTAGTCAACTTACTCCATGTCCACAAGACATATATGGTACAGGACATATTAACCATTTAATACATTATAATAATAAGTAGTATCCTCCGATCCTTAATATTAAAGCTAGTTTTTTTTTGCCTTAATATTAGAGATAGTTCGATATTCAATTTGATTCTAAATATAATACTTCAGTCTACTTTGTCTCTCTTATTTATTTAATTTTGTCAAAGTAATCTTTATAGTATAATAGTATAGTTGCACATATAAAAAGTTCTATCATATGATAGTTCTAACTAATACACATCATTAACAATGGTATTTTAGGAAAGATAACACCTATTAATTACAAATAACTAATTTAGTTAATTTCTTTAATATTTTTAAATTAGTTATTTAGCTTTTATATTAAGGACCAAAGAAAGTATAAAAGAAACCTACTTTAGCAAAACACGTGTTTGTTTGTGTGTGTGTAGAGAGAGAGATAGAGAGAGACTAATTAGGTTATTCCTCATACGAATAAAGGACCAACAATAGGTGAAGGCATTGGCAGTGGAATTCAGCGCATCTTGCCACCTAACACATGATTTTCCACTTACTCCATTCAAATTTGTATAAATGGATTGCTTATGGATATTTATGACCAAATGACTTGTTTTATTTATTTCCCTCTGTTTTTAATACACCAAGGCCACAGACAGGAATGTAAAAGGATGATGACTTAACATGGATATGGAATTAATGAAAAGTAAATGAGGAACCTAATCCATTTCTTATCCCACCTCTGGTTTGTAAGTTATTCCTTCCATTCTTTTATTATAAGCTACAAGTTTTTGAATGCATGTGTCTAAAATTCATAAGTTACACGTTGAAGATCTTTAAACATTTAATGCCTCTTTTCTTTTCTTTTGGTTTTTTTTCCCCCTTCCTCCTTTCCTCTTCGTTCCTTCCTTCCACCTTTTATTCTTGCTCACCGAATTAATGACGCCATTTACTCAAATCCGAATGCCTCTTCATGCTCTTCACCGCTTCAGATTTGTGGAGTAAAATGACTTGGTTTAATTTCGTCATTTGATTTGGTTTCATGAGCCAGTGGTGCGAGTCAATGAAATGATCATTTATTAATTTAGAACAGAGTAATAAGCCAAGATACACGCATTGTAAGTTTCCTTTTGGAGTTCACTCAGGACGAAAGCTCTTTGCTATTAACGTTGGTCACGGTCCAATCAAAGTCTAACACTTTAACTTTAAAGAAGTATAGAGACCTTAGAGCTTAGAGAAAATGTATTGTATTGCCTTGATTATGTGATATGTACAGTGTAGTATATATAGACTCCGGTGATACAGAAAGAAGGGACATGTAGCCCTAAACAGAAAGATCTAGAATAACTATACGTTACTATGGGCTAGAAAGAGCTAAATGGGCCTATGACACATTATCTTCAGACTTGGGTTTTAATTTCGTTGGATGAGCTCTAACAACTTTAATTAAATTTTATATAGCCGTGTGAACTCCACTAACCATGATTATTTCCAACAAATTTGTGTCCTTATTTAATATTCATTTCGTCTTTTTTAATAAATAACCTTAGACTCCGTCACGTAGATCGAAAAGCTAGTTAAAAATAATAAATAGGTAAAATTAGAAGTGCTTTCTTCAAAATACCCTTATTTATGAAAGAGAGAAAATGTGGATGGAAAGAAATGATGGTTTGAAAAATGAGATGATAAATATGCTGGGTATTAAAATAAGTAATTAATAGGGATAAAATAAAAATTTTGCTACAAAATTTAAAACAACTTATAAATGCTGTTTCTATTTAAGGACAAGAGGATGATGGTGATTGTTGCTTATAAAAAAAGATAAAGGAGTATGATTTACATAGCCATTAGAAGAATTTCGATGTTGTTAAACTTCCAATAGTTAACCATCGAGATCGCTTTATTTTATCATTTACTTGGTTTGAGTCCTTGAGCTCTTATCCAATCTGTTGGCCAAAATTTCCTATATATTTTCACCTGTAAGCAGTCATATCTAATTTTGGGATGTTATACTATTGGTTACTCCTCCGGTCCTTATTATAAGACCCAATTTGACTTTTTATTTGGTCCTAATTATAAGACCCAATCCATTTTCTCTCTTATATTTATGCATTTTTTTCCAAGATAATCCTTCTAATAATGATAGTTTTAGCCAATATACTTAATTAGCAAGGATATTTTAGGAATAATAACACTTATTTATTATAAATAACCAACTTAACTTACTTCCTTAATCTCCTCAAATAAGTCAATTGGGTCTTATAATTAGGACCGGAGGAGTATCATTTTTTATTTTACATTATTTACCATAAAAGAACCACTGATGATTCAATTAATAAAAATAACTTAAAAATCGGGTCAATCTTTTTTAACAAAAAGAACCAAGATTGAATCATAATAACGGACTTGAGCAAATCCCGACATCGACTTTTGAGTCCACTCACTTTAATTTGCTACCCCTTATCTAACCATTAGGGTCTAAGACGCGTTTCATGGGACCGGAGTATGACCGAATTCTGTAAATTAGGAAAATTGAAACCTGAGCAGAAAGAGTGAAGAAGCATCCCGACAGTGTTATGTAGTTACCAAAGTGAATGCGTAGAAAATTATAGGATGCCTGTGGGGCATGATGAACGCGGTTCATATTCGTGTTGGACCAGTTGGTTTCTTTTTGAATAAACAACAATTGATTTTGACCATCTGAATTCTGCAGAAGTATCATTTAATTTCGTTTTTTTTTTTTACCTTCTTATTATCGAATAATTGATGGTTCCTGGATATAATTCTCTTATGATGACCATGAGTAGCATCACTATGAAGTAAACTTGCTATCCTGCTTTCTTTCTTCAAGTGTACTGTTATGATGGCTTCCTACGCTTCAAAAACGATTATTAATTTGCTTTGGTATCTATGTGCCATCATCATACTCTATTCAGGCTCGTCCCATGCGAATATGAACGTTGGTTGCAATGAAAGAGATCGAGAAACTCTTGAAATCTTCAAGAGAAGCATTGAAGATCCTTCGAAGCTACTCTCTTCTTGGTCTACTGAACAAGATTGCTGTCACTGGTTTGGAGTTCACTGTGATAACCTCACAAGAAGAGTCACAAAGCTGGACCTCTCGCGTAATTACTCTGCTGGTAAACGATTCGGAGGTCAGATAAACATGTATGTTCTGAAACTAGAATTCCTCACCTTCTTGGATTTGCATTATAATGACTTCAATGCTATTTATGTTCCCCCCATTCATAACCCGTCAATGATTTCAACCATCCACCATGGTGCAAACTTCTCCAATCTCGTTTATCTTGATCTTTCACATAACTATGGCCTCAAAATCTATGATCTTAGATGGGTTTCACAGTTATCTTCTCTGGAGTATATTGACCTCAGCTATGCTGATCTCTCTGAGGAAACTCTTTGGCTTCAACGGGTTAACACGCTGCATTCACTTAGGGAGTTACGACTAAGTGATTGTCTCTTGGGAAGCATTCAACCATCTCTTGAGCATGCTAATAATTCTTCTTCCCTCGAGATTCTTGGTGCAAACTTCTCCAATCTCGTTTATCTTGATCTTTCAGATAACTATGGCCTCAAAATTGATGATCTTAGATGGATTTCACGGCTATCTTCTCTGGAGTATATTGACCTCAGCAATGTTGATCTCTCTGAGGAAACTTTTTGGCTTCAACGAGTCAGTTCGCTCCCTTCACTTAGTGAGTTACGACTAAGTAATTGTTCCTTGAAAAGCATTCAACTATCTCATGTGCTTGTCAATTCTTCTTCCCCGGCGGTTCTTGGTGGAAACTTCTCCAGTCTTGTTTATCTCGATTTTTCACAAAACTATGACCTAATAATCAATGATCTTAGATGGGTCTCGCGGCTTTCTTCTCTGACATATCTAAACCTCAGCAATGCTGATCTCTCTGAGGAAGCTCTTTGGCTTCAACGGGTTAACTCGCTCCCTTCACTTAGGGAGTTACGACTAAGTGATTGTTCCTTGAAAAGCATTCAACCATCTCTTGAGCACGTCAATTCTTCTTCCCTAGAGGTTCTTGATATTTCTCGCAATGATTTTCACTCTGAGGTTCCTAAATGGCTATTTAACTTAAGTAGCAGTATTTCATCTTTAGACCTTAGCTTCAATTATCTTAAAGGTCATTTACCTGATGAACTGTCCAATTTTAGGAAATTGAGAAGCTTAGTCTTGAGGACCAATAATTTCGGTGGATCAATTCCAGAGTGGCTGGGACAATACAAGCAGTTAGAGCATCTTGATCTTTCTGGTAATTATTTTTCTGGTCCCATTCCTGAAACCTTGGTAAATATATCGTCACTGGCATATTTACATGTTGGGTGCAATTTGCTAAATGGGAGTCTTCCAAAGTCTCTTGGGCAACACTCAGAATTGCAACTCTTTCATGCTGGGAGTAATTTGTTATCAGGTTCTATTTCTCCTTTCTTCTGCCAAGCCATGACACGGAATACAAAATTGATGGCTCTAAGACTGAGTCACAATCATTTTAGTGGCAGTATTCCACCCCAAATTTGCCAACTTCCTAGTCTCCTTATCTTAGACCTGGCTAACAACAAACTTTCAGGTTCAATTCCAACATGCTTGGCTAATACCGCTACTTTCTCTATTCAACCCCTTTTTTCTCACTATCATGATCACAAAAGGATTGGTCAAGATTCTTCAAGGAGTTATGGGGAATATCAGCATTTAATTTACAGAGACTGCAGTGAATCCGACGATTCTCTTTCGGTTATCGTTGATGACATTGTTTCCTCTATTGACCTCTCAATGAATAGCCTTTCAGGAACAATACCTCCAGAATTGTTTAGGTTACGTCATTTACTCCATTTAAATTTATCGCACAATGGTTTGACGGGGAGCATCCCAGATGAGATTGGGCATATGGAAAGTCTAGAGCAGCTTGACCTCTCAAGGAACCAACTTGTTGGAGAAATTCCTCGAAGCATGATCAATCTAAATTTTTTAGAAGTCTTGAACTTGTCATACAATAATTTGAGTGGAAGAATTCCCTTGGGCACCCAACTTCAGGTTTTTGAGGCATCTAGCTACATGGGCAATCCTGAACTTTACGGAGCTCCACTAAGAGAAGGTAATTCAGAACGAGAAATACCCAATAAGGAAAAAGAAAAAGAGATCATCGAACGCAGAAATGATGATTTTTCAAAATGTTTCAAGATGGGCATGGCAATTGGATTTGCTTACAGCTTTTGGGGTGTATGTTTGTCCCTATTCTTCATCTACCCATGGAGAAATACCTACTTTCGGTTCCTCAGTAATATGTATGATCGAATTTATGTCTTCATTGCTTTGAAGAAAAAATGGCTTCGCAAACACTTGACAGGCCATGATATATGACGGGTGAAAGGAACAACTTTTACAAGGTTTATATTTCCAGGTACGTATACTTTCTCTCAATGTTTAATTTTGTATCTATATTTTTTTAATTAAATCTTTTAATTTTGTTCTAGTAAAACCATTAGTTCCTGTAATCTTGATCTATTAGTCCCGTTCGTCCATATATAAGAGCTAATGCTGCTAACAAAATAAAATGAAAGGAATTAGTTAAGGGGGAAAAACATACAACAACAAAATTTGAGAGGAAAGTATAAATGCCTACAAAATTTTTTTCTCTTTATCTAAAGCATTACATCTTTGAATGGCTTGACAATTTATTTTTATATAATTACTCATAGAAAAATATTTAGATCAATTTTTTTATATTCATCATGTGTCTTTTTTCTTAAATAGGGATTTATAATTAAATTATAATGTTCCAAAAATAGGACACATGATATTGTGTGTTTGAGAAACTTGACATAATAAATATAAGTAACTTAAAGTAATTAAGTATCGTCCATACGCACATACCTATGAAAATAATCTACTTGAATTTTTTTGTGACCTCTATTAATTTTCCCCCCTCCCCCCCAGATGAGTAGGTAACATATTGAAGACCTTTGGAGCATGCATGCTTCACGAATCTTTTCGCTGCGATCTTTTATTAATGGTGTGATTATTGTATTGTCATGTTTTTGTTTTGTTTTTCTTTTTTTGGCCAGAAGATTGTATTGTCGTGCTATGTAGACCTTGGGGTGAACCTTAAGATATAATGTTTCACTATTTATTTTGTGAGATTTGTTGCAGGATATTTATATATCACTATTTTTAGGAGATTTGTGGTATTATTATGTTGGTTATGATGTCATTATTGTCTTTTCATGTTTGTAATGTTACTCTCTCCTGTGCTTAATACAACAGCTACTTTACTAATTAAAAAAATTATTATAATAAGTGTGACAAAATCTTCCTACTAAAACTGCAACACATTTTCATACAACATTTATATGTGAGGCGAAGTAGTTTTAAAAAAATAATAAATATAAAAAGATAAAATGAATTAAGCTGTTACATTTATGATAATTTCCAAACTAGAGGTAGTAAGTTAAAATGGAAACGACTAAATATTATATATAGATATATATATATATATATATATCCGCTGCGGTGTTTATTATAAGTAAATTATTTACATGCACGCCCATGTGTGGGTATCATGAAAAGTATCAATTTTATTAAGGTGAGTTGTATATAACACTGATGGTTATTTTCAACTAATTTTGTTGACATCTAAAACTTCTAAGAAATGCCATGGAAAATTATAGATAACTCTCTTGCCATTAACTACGCCCTCTTGTTCTTATATCACTCTTGCCAATAATTTGTTTGCGTACAGGACTCTTGACATTTTTCTTGCATGAAATATTTTGTATAGGTTTTTTTGCATGCCGTAAAAAAGTTTTTTAACCAAAAAAAAGGACTTAATTTATGCATGAAAGTAATTCACAATTTAAAAAACTAAGGAAAAATCCAAAAAAAATGATTGTTGAATTTCAAAATTCCAAATCAGTATTGGTTACTACATTCCCAATTTAGAATTTTGAAATCCAACAAAGATTTTTCTAAAAACTAAGTTCGTTTCTATAGGGTAATATCAACTTAAGCGACCAATGGGTGCTAAATATAACGGAAAGAGTTAATTTCTTATACTATGACTCACCAAATTTGAAATTTGTATGCCAATTAAATAAAAATCAAAACCAAGCTGGGCCATTTTCTTGTTCATAATGACTTGTCTCTACTTTTACTGTTTTATGAACAGTACCATGACTAATCAAGATTGGAATCTTTCCTAGAAGTGTCCACATACAGTCTTTCCTAGAAGTGTCCATATTCAGTGTTGGGCAATACATTGAACAAATGTCTAATAAGGGAAAAATTGTGCTAATAAAAAAATGTCAACTTAAGCTAATAATAAATTGGTTTACTCGGTGCATCATTAATCATTTGTGAGAATCATTTCTGTGTTTCTCCTGAAGTGCCTCTCTCTTGTCATGGGAGAGAATCCAAGCTAAGTAAAACAATTGCTGAGAAAAAATAGTTCATATCGTGCATTGAACATTAAAAAGGACTCACCTCTTATCCCCCTTGTATATGCATTCGCGTGGGGATTGGTTTGAAGGTTGGTTTTAATAATTTTGTATTATTTGCTATCCTCATAATATGTCAGCATTATACTCCACCAGTTCTTTATGTAATACATAATTAATTAATTTGAGTAAATTAAAAATGTTAGTTAAATTAGCTAATATAACATGTTGTTTCTAAAATATCCTAAATATCTTTCTTAATTCTTTTTCTCTCCCTTCTATTTAATTATTGTTCAGGAAATACCAATAAAATTAATTTGAAAAAAATTAATAAACATTTTACATATAGAATCAAAATTAACTTCCTAATTACATCATACATTAATACTTTGCATTATTGCATTGTTTCTCAAGTACTCTTTGTTGACAAGTGCAACATGAATTAACCTTCAATCCTCTCCCACGAACAGACCAAGCAGTGATTGATTATTTTGACTTGTAAATATGAATTTTTGAGACCTTGTAATTATTATTTTTTTCTTTTTACCACAGATCTTTAAGTAACTTTCCATGATTTAATAGTTACATAGACTGTTCTGTTCTCTCTCTTTGCTTTGAGATGTAAAACCAAGCAGTTCAAAACACAGACATGCATAATCAATACCTGCCACACGATGAATGCATCAAGAATTGACAGTTGAATAAGCATGGTCTTAATTATCTATTAACAAATATGGAAATACGATAATGATAAATCAATTTAAAATGCTACATGATATCAATTATCAACTATTATACAAAAGGAGAACATTTTCACCAAACAAACTCCGCCTGTGACTCACATTATTAGCTCAAAAAGCTATCACTAACAGGAAGGACTATCAGCAGCCTGGCCAATCCTTTTGAACAATCATCCGGTTTTCCAGGTTTCCATGGACATACACTTTGGGCTCTTTAACCTGGAGTGGATCAAAAGCATTTAAAACCACATTTCAAACGCATCAAGCATTCAATTTTTGAGTTCACTGTTACTACTGACCAGTACAATCGGCAGAAATTCAAATCTAAAACGAGCTCTAACAAACCCATCTTCACTGAATAGACACTTGAATCCATCAACCACTGGGTGTTCACTGTTAAATAGAATTTTAAAAAACACATGTAAGGTATACCAAACAATTCAATGTGAACACATAGCATTGGCACATGGATTTGTCTCCACTGTACCATTTCGGAAACATTTCTCTACATTCCTCACTGATAACTATCTCTTCCCCATTACACCAAGCATATGAACAATCATTTAACCGTTGAAAAATTTATTCTTCGAATAAGTCGATACGCTTTAAAAACTCACTTTATGAGAAAAGTAAAATTTCTCCGGCGGAATTCCTGCAAGCTGATTTGTTCTTCTTTAGAGTATCTACATAAGAGAAACATATGAACACATTATATTCTGAAAGTTCAATGTCACAAACCAATCGTTTAAAAATACCTTGGAAGTTAGAAGTGAATAAAAACAACACTCAGAAGCATAATTGAAACTTAGACTCTCATAACCGCAATGAGAACAACGAAGCGACACTCCCAAATCCCAAATTTAATTTTCCCATTGGAATTGAGTTTTGCTTTCATTAATTGCTTGTGCTCACTTCATTTGGAGTTTCTCAATTTGTTTCTTTAAATAGAAGTAATGTTTAGTACTTGTTCTTGATCAAAATCTCCGTAAATACAATCTTCAGTTTCTACTTGTCACAACCGATACATTAGCATTATATGTCAGATGAAAAGTAAGCACCATCATATAATCGTCCAAAGCATGGTTATAAAAACCAGATTCAACAGAAAACATAAGAGCTTGGTCCAGTCCGGACTAATTGAGAAAACAAGCATTGGTTAATGGGTGAACCAATTCATTTCATGCATATATCTCAGTCATCAACACAAGAATTTGACAGCGACAATAAACGCAACAATCCAAAAATGAAATGGATGTAAAAGCTTATACAACAGTGGATCATGGCTTATGATTCAAAACATTTTCGCATATTATTGGCTTGTCAATTCACGGAAAACCCACCATAACCCAAGAAAAAAGGAAAACGAAAAAAGAAAAAGAAAAAGAAAAGCTCAAACAAACATTATTGCCACAGAAATATTTCCAAATACGATACTGTATATTTGGAAGCAAGGCTTCAATTTGGACATGTTAAAGAATACTGGTACCAGGAAAACAACTTAATCTTTTATTAGAATGGTTAGCGTTTACCAATTTTTTTGGGCACACGTGTGAAAGCGATATATAAAAATTTTCTGCAAGATATAAAATGGATATCTGAATATGCATGAGGAGAAGCATAATAATTTGAGAACATTTTGTCATGAAAGGGACCAAAATAAGGAAGCATTGGCATTGGTAGGTCCTAGTAATGGTATGTTATTTTCAAATTTTATTTCTTCTACTTTTTATTCCTCTATTGGTTTCACTAAAAATTTTTTCTTATTTTTGTTTTATTTTTCTGTTTCATGTCAAACTGCCAAGATCATTCTCATTTCTTTGTAAATGGGCTACAAGGTTGGAAAGATTTTTGAAAAATTCATACCATTCTGTATAGGAAACAAAAAGATGATTGTTCAAATAAATTAAGTGACGTAAGCTTTTATTAATACCTTTCTTATGTTTATAGCGACCTAAAAGAACTTGGATATGGAGGCTGTTATTAACTAGAATCTATACGACAGGGAAAAACTTTCCCTGCAAATGGGATTTCCTTCCAAGAAACAAATCCATATGTAATAAGCCATCACACCAATGCTCATATTTGATGTTTGCTTTTACCATAAGCCCCATGTTGCCAAGAAGCAATTTCAGCTCTCCAATGGTATTGAATTATAAAGTGAGCAAAAGGAAGTCAAAACATTCTTATTTGCAAAGGCATAAAAGGTATAGATGTAATTATTTTTCAAATTTTTTTCAAGATTTGGTTATAATATTGTATCTTGAAAATATGAATTTGTTGTTTTGTCTATCAGGCAGAGAGACAAAGATTAACGAAAATTTAGAGCACAAAAATTAAAATGGAAGCAAGAGGTAGAGCCGCTGATCACACTTGGCTTCCAGCGGAGAATAACAAGGAAAGCGGCAGAGATGCTGGTAGGGACCTAATCTAAAGGAAATAAAGAGAAACGAAGTAACAGCAAGGAATTCCAATAAAAAGAGCGGCAAGGATCTCACAGCACTCTCTCTAAAGGACCGATGGAGGATCTCCAATATAAATATACTCTCTGAAGAATTGTTGTCTTTATTCCAGCGGCCAGATAGCCTTTTTATAATAAATTACAGAGAGAAAATCAGTTGAAAATCCAAAGATAACAATCAACGATAAATCAGCAACTAATCCTAACGTTGGAGAGGGCTATCCTTCTTATTTCGGAACTGAAAATATGCCAGTAGAAAAAGAACAGGGAAATATTAAAATAAAAAGCATGTAAATCGCTACTCCAAAACTGACTCTTCTCTGCCACATTTAGCCCTTCTTGAATAAGTCAGTCTGAATTTGTCCGGTATCCTATCATTACCCCCCTTTTGGAAAAACGACTTGTCTTCAAGTCGAAAGTCAGGAAATTGAGCAGAAAAAGAATCATAATCTTCCCAAGTGGAGTCTTCTGTGGAACGATTCTCCCATTGAACAAGTAATTCCAGTGTGCTATCATTTACCCAGCGATGCTTCAGCACTTTCATAGGAGTAAGTAGCAATTCCATATCAGTAGATAAAGGGAGGGGGTTTGGGTCTGTAGGTGGTGTTTGGCCATAAGCCGGACGGAGGAGTGATACATGAAAAATGGGATGAATCCTGGCATCTGAAGGGAGCTCTAATTCATATGACACTTGACCCACACGTCGAATGATTTTATAGGGCCCAAAAAATCTTGGAGACAGTTTTTCAAACCTCCGTTTAGCTAGACTTCTCTGTTGATAAGGCTGGAGGCGCAACCAAACAATATCCCCTGGCGCAAACACGAGGTCCCTACGATGGTGATCAGTTTGTAATTTCAGGCGATTTTGAGCCTTTAACAAATTTTCCCACAAAATCTTGAGCATGTCATCTCTTAGCTCTAGCTGTTCTTCCAGATCTGCAACTAGTGTTTCCCCTTTGACATAGGGAACAAGTGGTGGAGGCTCTCTCCCATATACTAGTTTGAATGGAGTATTTTGAGCTGATACATGGAAGCTAGTATTAAAAGAAAACTCTGCCCAGCAAAGGAATTTGCTCCACATTCTTGGTTGCTCGTGAGTAAAACACCTCAAGTAAGTCTCCAAAATACCACCTCGGTTTGCCCATCCGTTTGTGGGTGATAGGCAGTGCTCATGTTTAAGCGGGTCTGGCTTAAACGAAAGAGTTCTTGCCAAAAATTACTTAAAAAGAGAGGGTCACGATCAGAAACTATGGACCGAGGCATGCCATGCAACCGAACTATTTCTTGGCAAAACAGACCAGCCACTGTTTTAGCAGAGTAGGGATGAGACAGCGGAATGAAGTGTGTATACTTACTAAGGCAGTCAACAACCACAAGAATCACATCAAAGCCTCTGGATTTTGGAAGCCCTGTGATGAAATCCAAGGATATATCCTCCCAAATGCGTTCAAGAACCGGGAGAGGTTGTAGTCATGGTTATCAAAGCGAGATACGAATCGTGAATCGGAAAGCCGATTTTTTGAATCTTGAATCGTAACGTATCGTGAATCGTAAGATTCATGAATAACTATTAAGGATGATATATAAGTAATTTTTGTATAAAAAGATATCAAAAGTTTGTAAATATTAGTTATTTTAGACTCTCAAAAAAAATATAAAAGCCAACATATGAAATTCTAAAGACAAATAGTCCTCAAAATCAATTCACAAAATCAAAATCCTAGCTTAAAAAGACTAAAATCACTGAACATAAAATTCAATTCCTCATTCATCATCTCCAAGATCAATGTCACTCAATTCATGATCATCCTCCATTAACAATGTCACTTCTTCATCATCCTCCTCTTCCCCATCTTCAGCATCATCTTCATTCTCATTCTCTTGTCTTACTATAGATTTTCCTTTGTTATTGGCTTTGGCATTCAAGTTTCTTGGACCTATGGGAAAAAAAACTTAATAAGTATGATGGTATATATTTAAACTAAAAATTAACTTAAGTTTAGCTTGGAAATATTATACCTCTCTTTCTTTTCTTACTTGGAGCTCCTTCCTCAAGAGTAAAACTCTCATGTATGTCCATCCATGACCCGTCCACTGGCAAGCATGGATTTTCTTTTTCAGTGATCCACTCATCATCAGATTCAATATCTGATAAACAGATTGGATCATATGTCTCTCCTTTTTCCTCTCTAATCTTTTGTCTCATCTCAAGTTGAAGGTTGTACTTGACAAATACAAGTGCATTTAACCTTTGTTGTTCTAAACGATTTCTTCGCTTAGTATGCACTTGATCAAATGTGCTCCAATTTCTTTCACATCCAGTAGCACTACACGTGAGACTCAAAATCCTCATAGCTATCTTTTGCAACTCCTTGCCCTCTCCTCCATAACTTTCCCACCAAAGAGCTAAAAAAAGATACAATAATGAGAAATGATTTCAAAAATTCATATTTATTATTAAGATTAAAAATTACAGTCTTCTAAATAGAATAGACTATAGACTAGAGAATGGTACCAGGTTGCTTTTTGTTTCTAGTATCTATTGCCATGCTCCTTCCAAAAAGCCCCTTAGCAGACTTAAATGCTTCAAGTTGTTGATCAACTAAAAATCTTGTCTTTCTATCCGGAATCATTCTCTCAATAGTTTCATATAAACCAAAATAAACTTCCTGGTCCGCATTAAATTTTTCATCATAATGAAACCTACGAAAATAACAAATAAGTTATGTTTTTCTATGTTCTAACATACAATTAAACAATAATATTTAAAATTTAAAGTGTATAAAACTTACTTAGGATTAAGAAAGTAGGCAGCCGCATGGAGGGGTCTATGTAATTGCAAAGTCCAACGAATATCAATGATCTTCCATATTTTTTTATACCTTGATTCCTTCTTTTCAAAATTGTCAGCAATCTCTTCTTTGGCTCTGTCCATTGCTTCATAAATATATGGCATAGCAGGTTTAGAGTCACCATCTACAAGTCTTAAAACTTTTACAAGTGGACTCACACACTTTAAGCAATATTTGATGGAACTCCAAAATCTAGAATCCCCAAAAACCATGTCCACCACTTGCTTGCCCTCACTTTTACTAGCAAAAGTACTAGAAGTCCAATCATCTGAAGCAAACATGGTTCGAAGAGCATTTTTTTCTCGCAATATACAACTTAGTGTAAGATAAGCTGTTGCAAACCTTGTCACTGCCGGTCTAGCTAATTCTTTTCCTTTAGAATACTTTCTATACAAGTTAAGGACCCATGTATGCCTATAAATGAAGGTTGTTATTTTCTTTGCATTGGTGATGGTATTATAAAATACTGGAAGTTGCCCAATGTCTTCAAGGATTAAATCAAGACAGTGTGCTGCACAAGGGGACCAAAATAATTTTGTTCTCTTCTCTTCTAACATCTTCCCTGCTGCCACGAGATTTGACGCACCATCTGTCACAACTTGCACCACATTATCCTCCCCAATTTCCTCAACCAGATTGTCTAGTAATTCAAACATTTGTTTAGCATCCTTAATCACACTACTTGTATCCACTGACTTTAGAAAAACTGTTCCACTAGGACTGTTAACTAAAAAATTAGTAAGAGACCTTCCTTTACCATCAGTCCAACCATCACACATCAAGGTACAGCCCCATTTCTCCCATTCCTTCTTATACTTTGCTAAACTTTCTTGAATTTTATCAACTGCTTTTTTCAAGTGAGAAACTCTCACCTCATGATAACTTGGAGGTTTCAAACCCCTACCATATTCACCAACAGATTTTAACATTTGAATGAATAGTGGACTTCTCACCAAATTAAATGATAAAGCATTACCATAGATGCATTTACAAATATCTTGAATTACTAACTCTCTATCTTTTACCATCTCATTCATTGTTTTCTGTTTGGTAGTTTTTGATGTCCCTTCCTTCCCCTTAGCATCTTGAGCAGTTGCCTCTTCAAATATTTCAACACTACTGGCATCTTTACTTTTTTCTCTATTTTCTAACATTTTAACAAACAAATTTTTCACTTCATCAGGAACACTTATACAAGGACTCACATTCTCTCTAGTTCCAGCCAAATGATGTTTCATCCTAGCTACCCCACCCCAACATTGATGTGAACAGTATTTGCATTTAACCATAAGTCTATGGGGAGGAACACTTTCACAGTGATTCCATGTAATATCAGCTTCCTTTTTTTTCTTATTCTGAGTCTGACTCATTTTTCCTACCTTCACAAATATAATATCCAATAGAAGCAAAAAAGAAGCAGGAAAAAATTACCAAATAGGAGTTTATTCAATGGACCCCAATCAACCAGCAAGTCAGCAACAGCCTTCAATTTTTATTACCTTTTGACCAAAAAGGACCAGTAGAAGAGGAGAAAAAATGCAACCGTGGGGCACAAGATACAGAACGTGAAGAACAGAGCATATGGGAATAAAAAAATAGGGTTTCACATGCTTATAATTCAATTTGCGGCAGTTTCTCCCTTTAAATAACAAAAAAATCGAAAAAACAAAAAACAAAAAAGGGGGTATTACCGTGTCGGGTCGCGCAAAGATCCGAGTCGGATCCGCGCGACCCGACAGCGTCCAGAATCGCGCGATCCACCGGCGTCGCGCGATTCGCACGATTCCGGCGTGAATCGCGCAATTCATGGCGCGATTCAGACGGCAAAGAGATACACTGGGAGATTCGTATCTCCCAGTGTGCAATCCGTAGCGTATCGTGCGATCCGAATCGCGAATCGCACGATACTAATAACCATGGTTGTAGTAAGCCTGCAGGTGCAAGTGTTTGATATTTGTTTTGTTGGCAAGTAGAACACTCTTGGATGTAGTGTTTTACATCGCCCTTCATTCCCTTCCAATAGAGATGTGCTCCTAATCTTTTTAAAGTCTTTAAATATCCACTATGACCTCCAGTTGGGGTTGCGTGGGCTTCCTCCAGCAATTTGGTCCTCAAATTACCTTGCCGTGGTATGACTAAGTGGGCTTTATAATATAATCTGCCATTGACTATGCTGTATGGAGAGAGTGGATTTGGACTCTGTTGCAGTCCATCAATAATTGCTTTAGTTTCTGGGTCCTCCATCAAAGCTTGTGGCAATTGGTTCAGGTCATCCACCATAGGGATAACTAGCTGTAAGAATTCTAAAGATTGGGGCTTTCGCGAGAGTGAGTCAGTGGCTGTATTGTCCTTCCCTGATTTATAATGGATGGTAAAATCAAAGGGAAGGAGTTTGATCAGAAGTCTTTGTTGAGAGGTGTTTAATGTCAGTTGATCCAGGAGATGCTTAAGGCTATGATGGTCAGTCTGCACAAAGAAATGATGACCTAATAAGTAGTGGCGCCACTTTTGAACGGCTAGCACCAGTGCTAGAAGCTCTCTGTCATAGGCAGAATTGAATCTGTTTGAGAAGGAGAATCCTTTGCTAAAATAGGCAATAGGATGTCCTTCTTGTATTAACACAGCCCCTACTCCTTCCATCGATGCATCACATTCCACAATAAAAGGGAGTTGAAAATTAGGCAGCCTTAGCACCGGTGTAGTGGTCAATGCAACTTTTAATTTTTCAAATGCGTCTTGAGCTAGATCTGACCATTCAAAGGCATCTTTTTTTGTCAAATCTGTCAAGGGTCGAGCAAGCAATCCATAGTTCTTCACAAACCTTCTGTAATATCCTGTGAGACCCAGAAAGCCACGCAACTCTTTGACATTTTTTGGAACCGGCCAATCTATCACGACTGCCACTTTTTCTGGTATCACTTCCACTCCTTTATTTGACACAATGTGGCCCAAATAGTCAATTCTAGTCTGCCCAATTGAACATTTTTTTGCGTTGGCAAAGAAGTGTTGCTGCAACACCTAAAACACAATGCAGAGGTGCTCCAAATGTTGTTGAGCAGACGCACTATATACCAGTATATCATCAAAAAATACGAGCACAAATTTTCTCAAGAATGGCCTAAACAAGTCATTCATAATAGATTGGAATGTAACTAGGGCATTAGTAAGCCCAAAAGGCATTACTACAAATTCATAGTGTCTTGAGTGAGTCCGAAAAGCAGTTTTGTGAATATCGGATGGCAGCATAAGGATTTGATGATACCCAGAACGTAAATCAATTTTTGAAAAATAAGCTACCCCATGTAGTTCATCTAGCAACTCATCAATATTAGGAATTGGATACTTATCTGGTATGGTAATCTGATTGAGACGTCTATAATCGATGCAGAGGCGCCAAGAGCCATCCTTTTTACTCACCAGCAACACCGGACTAGCAAACGGGCTGGAACTGGGTCTGATGAACCCACGACTCAATAACTCTGAAATCTGGGACTCTATCTCATCTTTTTGGAAGTACGGGTACCGGTAAGGTCTCAAGTTGGGAGGAGACGCATCTGGAAGTAAGGTTATAGCATGATACTGCCCATGACCTGGTGGTAGTGATTTGGGTTCTGAGAATACTGTACCAAACTCATCAAAAATGGCCTCAGCAATCATTGTGCCACACCCTTCCTTCTCAACTTCGCGTGTTAACACTAAGCTTTGAAGTCGTACTGGAGCGTTGGCTTCAGGAATAACTCCTTGTAACTTGTATTTTTTTCCATCTACCCAGAAAATCATGAACATTTTATTCCAGTTGGCCTCAATGGTATTCAGTGATGCTAACCACTTGATTCCCAACACCAAGTCAGTGCCGCCGAGAGAGAAGGGGAAGAAATCCTATCTGATGGTTAAATCAGAAATTTTGACTTCTAAATTATTACATACACGGTTGCATTTGACTGTACTGCCATTCCCGATTTGAACACCGAACACAGGGACATTTTGAACTGGAATACGCAAGTCAGAGACCAAATTTTCTGAGATGAAATTGTGGGTGGAACCACTATCCACCAAAATTAGTACCTTTCGGCCTTGTATGGTCCCTTGCAGCTTCATAGTTGACGCCTAAGTTTTGCCCAGAATGGCATTGAAGGAGATTTCAGCATTATTTCCAACTAGCGAGGCCGCGGGCTCCTCTTCCTCAATCGGTGGTATCACTTCTTCATCCTCTTCGGTAATTTCCATGAGGGAGAACGAGGACTGGTAGCAGTGCCCAGGACGGAAACTCTCTCCACAGCGGTAGCACAGGCCCTTCTCTCGGCGAGCTTGACGCTCCAACTCGGACGGACTGTTGCGTGTGATGCTCGACTCTGCTTGACGGGGGTTGTAAGTGTGCGATGCGACTGGTCTAAAGGGAGTAGATGAAGACGACAAAACTGCTCTACTGGGCATATTTGATGAGTAGGAACGGTTCTGGGCAGAAGAGGAATTGGGCTTGGGCCCACTGGTGAGTTTCAGCTTGTTTTCAAATTCAAGAGCCAAGCTGGTGGCCCTATACACCGTCCAGGGCTTGTGAATTCGCACATCTGCTTTTAGTTCTTCTCGTAAGCCATTGATAAAGACGCCAAGGAGGCAATGCTCCAGCCAGTTCTTGACGCGAGACAATCTACGGGAGAACTCAGAACGGTACTCAGCCACAGTCCCAGTCTGTCTAATGCTACAGAGGTACTCATTCGGGTTCTAGTATTCTGGTGGTCCGTAACTCTCTTGAAGAGCCTTTACAAGCTCCTCCCAATACACCAACGTCCGCTCATTGTTGACCCAAGAGAATAAATCCAACGCATCTCCCTCCAGATACATAGAGGCGACATCCACTTTCATTTCCTCTGGAGTGTCATAGTATCTGAAGTATTTTTCAGCTTTGAGTATCCAACCTCTCGGGTCTCCTTGAATTTGGGAACTCAATCTTTGTATAGGGCATCCATCGTCTTAACGCCGCGTCCGGATCATCATCGCTGTCAGCCTCCCAGTGAGAGCGATGTATTCCTCTTCGTGTGCGTTCAGAGGTAGCTTCCAGATTAGCTACTCTATTAGCCAAGGCTTCAATGTTCTCTAAGCGCGCAGCAATGGAGATCAGCGGGTCAGTATCTCCAGCAAAAGGATTTTCAGGTGGGTTGGTATTGCGGGATGATCTAGTCTCAACCATGGCTCTGATACCAATTTGGTAGGGACATAATCTAACGGAAATAAAGAGAAATGAAGAAACATCAAGGAATTCCAATAAAAAGAGCGGCAAGGATCTCACAGCACTCTCTCTAAAGGACCGATGGAGGATCTCCAATATAAATATACTCTCTGAAGAATTGTTGTCTTTATTCCAGCGGCCAGATAGCCTTTTTATAATAAATTACAGAGAGAAAATCAGTTGAAAATCCAAAGATAACAATCAATGATAAATCAGCAACTAATCCTAACGTTGGAGAGGGCTATCCCTCTTATTTCGGAACTGAAAATATGCCAGTAGAAAAAGAACAGGGAAATATTAAAATAAAAAGCATGTAAATTGCTACTCCAAAACTGACTCTTCTCTGCCACGTTTAGCCCTTCTTGAATAAGTCAGTCTGAATTTGTTGGGTATCCTATCAGATGCCTTTGGAGAGGGTCTAATGATGAGGAAAAATTGGCGGTGGATGTAGGCACCTTTGAGAATGAGTATAGTGAATATGAAACTAAGGGTAGGAGAGGGCAGGATTAGGAGGAAAATGACATAGCATGGGGCTGGCTGGATGTAGGTTAGAGAAAGCCAAACCCAGGTGGTATGGACAATCAATCACATCCAAACCTTTTGCATTACCTGAAGAACCGCAACCACATGAACAGCCTGAGAAATATCATAGACTTATTCCATATACGATATATTTTATGTATATTTTCATGAAGCACGGGCAAACAATGCATTAGGTATGTTTACATTTGCACTACCTTGTCTTACATGCGTGATAAAGATAGAGCAAGAAAGAGGAAACAGGAAGAGCATCTGAGAAGGAGCGAACTGCACCTAGAAAAAGGGCCTCACAAACCTACAAAAGACTAACAAGAACAACAAAGCCTAGGGGAAAAAAAAATACAAATTGACAATTCAAACTTGAACTCAAACAGCTTCTGTCAGCTCATTCAATAACAGCTCTTTATAAGAAGAATTATCTGTTATAGCAAACTGTTTCAGTTTTATTGCCATGTTTGATCCAAAAAAAAAAAAAAAGGCCCGTTTCATTGTCTTGTTTTCTGTAAATTATGATATCGACTTTGAATTTGTAAAATTTGATGATAACAGCACTCTAAAATCTTTCATTCGTATTGAATATCAGACTGTATGTATTCTCCCTCAGTTTTTGGCTTTGCTTAAGTGGTATTATAGCATATTGATGAAAACATTCAAATTTTGCTTTCTATAGCCATTTCTTTTTAACTAGGTAATGAAGGCAGCTGCCCTCATAGCATTATGAGTAGGTCCGTCTCTGGCAAATACATCAAATACGAAGAGCTTCATAAAGGTATGATATAAAAGAAATATGCATAATATACCTCCATGGGGAATCACCTTCGCAAAAGCGGGATATACCATTCATGGCTGAAAAGGTGTCAATGTGAACCCACTGCTCAGTTGTATCATTAAGAACACCTGCCAAGAGCAACAACCATATCACGGTAAACAGACTCGAGACAATGTGATATGTTATTAGATAAAAGACCAGGATGCTAGCCAGTCATTCATCTATCTGCATGATGTACTCAGTCAAGCATTGGAAAATCAACGTCAAAAGGTATTGACATTGCCATTGAAATATATTGTCATGTTCATGTTAGTTGAACAAACTTCATCCTATTTAAAAAAAGTTGAGTACCATACTTTAAATTCAATTCAATGCTACTTGAATTGTTCATAAAATGACAATACACTACAAAAGAATAGGAAAATGTACTCACACACCTACAGCCCCCACATGAAAAACGATGCTATTTTTTAAGAGTGATGAAATATCCTTTATTTACTACAAACATTCTAATCAGCTTAATTATAGGAGTTATGGTTATGGTCAGCCGTTACGATAGAATCATTCTAATGTGGAGAGTGATAAAATCCGAATCCTAATAACAGATACAATTTTAAAGTCCCCTGAGCCTCAAGTCTTGCAAAATGTCCCAGCATCATAGAGTTCTCGACCATGAAGTTCCATTGCTAATTTACAATAAGAAGGCTAAAGTTGAAAAGTGTATTTAGTAATTGCATAAAACATATTGTCATGCATGTGACTGATAAGGGTTGATTAAGTGCTGTATTGTCCTTTGATTAAGATGTTAGTTATTTTCAAAGGTAAAGTAGCATCTATTACCAAGGTCTTATTTCCCAAGCACACCCAGCACCTGATTTTTTCTTTTTTTTTTTTTTTTTGGGGGGGGGGGGGGATGTTCCGCTACTCTAATCTTATTTATAGTACATCCAGCACCTTAAACTATAACTAAGATTACAGTGCTAGATGTAACTAATAATAATATCAGGGTGCTGAATGCACTTGGGAACTAAGATCAGGGTTTTATGTGCTACTTTACCCTATTTTCAATAATGGATATGTATTGCTACTTATGTATTGAAGGATATAAAATATACATTACTCAGTACGACTTAGGAGATTCTCCATCGGCTTTAGGAGAGTTCCAAGACTTAGATTCTGTTTCAAAGAATTCCTAAAGATTCAATTCTTAGATAGATGCCATACGTTCCAGTTCCAATCCTCCCCCTTTCTCAATTCTCAGATAGATTCTATCATCATGCTACACTGAGGACACATAACAATAGTTTTCCTCGAGCAAATTCTAGCTTCCCATGGAGTAGCAAATGCACTAACATCTTAAGATTCATGGACTCACCAATTTGATGCAATTCTTTTAACGCATGCCCGCTAGGGTAATTCCAGTATGATGCCATGAAAGTTGTAATGGAGCATCCTACACTACAAGACATAAAAATAAGTACAAAACGAAGAATACAACTATCAACAAAACAAAATGACTTGTCAGCCAACCTTATTAACAATAGTCCCACCAACATGAAGAAAAGCAAGTTCCAGAAAGGCTTCTTCTTATTGTTGAAACTGGAACGTATGACATCGGTTAGTAACTCGAACATGAAAAAATAAATGACCAATAAAACATGTGCATCAATTATTCAATGAAAGAAGCCTCTTCCATTTTCATATCTCCTTTATAAATGTAAAAGCACTTAAACTTGCTTACTCAGTAACAATACAGTCCCCAAAAAAGACTAATTCATCATTGTCCTTTTAAAACTCTGATTGAATAGACTGGGTCATCAAAATGTATATTTTTACACTGAGCCCAAATTAGAAAGAACGTTTGATTAAAGGGGTAAATGGTAAAGTAAAAGGTGTAGGTATTAAAGGTCAACCAGGGCTTGGGAACAAGTTGACAGGTAAGTAAAAGGTTAAGGTATCAAAACTATTTTAAAGAACATAAAAATATTGCAACTTGGAACATATAAAAACAAAAACAAAAACAAGCTTAAGAAAAATGAACACACAAATACACACAGAGACAGATATACTGAAAAAGACTATATAGAAACAGCAACACATTTTGCCCAAAAAGCTTCAAAATATTATATCTCAAACAGTAATACAGAGCAACAGGATCTTACATTCTGTTAGCAGCAATTGAAGCAGACAGGTTAAACATTGGAACTGAACTTATGATAAAACGGAGCTCCTGCAGCATCAATAAAAATGAGTTGCAACAATGTTCATGATATAAAACATGAACAATTAAGTACGCATCCTACCTTGTGGGGAAGCTTGGAGTAAATCAGAATAAAGGAAAGAACTGGGACAGTGAAAGACCGAACCCTTCTGTCTAGGAAAAGACTGAGCTGAAAAGAAGGCAACCGGCCAAATTAGGAAAAGTGATGGGATTTTACTTTTTATCATACCTTTTTTTAACTCCTTCCTGTTCTTTCTTTCTTTTTTTCTTTTTTTTTTTTTTTTTGGGGTTTGGAGGAAGAGGAACAAAATTAACTCTAGTACTACAAACAGATTAGCAATTACTAATTATGTCTATTCACTGTTCATTGACCTCTCCATATTGCTCATAACGATGATGTTTCTTTAGAAAATGAATGCAAGTTAGTGGCACTGATTGATGACCATCAGAATAGATAATCTGACAATGAAAAATTATTTTACATAACCAGAAAACAAGACAACTGACAAAAAGTGATTATTTTCATAAACCTCATCTTAAATAAACTTCCTTGCCCACAAAATAGCAATATACTTTATGTTCCCATTTCCTTCGTTATACAATTCTTCTATTCTGTAAATCAAAATAAAGCTACCTTTATAACATAAGAAGATTGATCTCCAATTTCCTTACATAGTCTTCTAAATGTTAAATAAAATCTTAAAAAAGCCATGTAAAAAAAATATGATGAGCCCCTATCCAATGAACCAGGGTTGAGCCCCATGACGTGTGCAAGATGTGAGAGAAAGAGGAAATAGGCTATACATATAACAACATGGATTCTATGAACATCTGCTAGCACCTACAGCTTATTTGTAAGTTCTGAAAGCACATAGACATGAAACATTCTAAGATTAGTATAGTTAATACAGAAGTAAATGATACCATAAGAATAAAATTTTGGGTTCACCTCAAAGATGATAGATGGGAATATAAACTTATGTTTCTGAAAAGGAATACCCAAAAAGTGTACTTGTCAAAATAATATATTGTATTAATCAGGTCAATCGAAGCATATATGAGTCAGTATGCCAAGTTAACAGCCTATATAAGCAGTCAGCACAATGTCATAGCAGGTGACGGATTTTTATTAACCAACACCTACCAGTGAAAGAGGATATGCAGCAAGCAATGATCGAGGGAGTGCTGAGGAGAAGTACCAATGGAAAGCATGCGTCTAAACAAATATTGTAAAGGAAATAAACGATCAAATACAGGAGGGAAAATATTATAAAAAGCTAACGTCAGAACATGGATGAAAATTCAAGCAACTGCCACAGTTTGAGTTTATTAGACCATGAAATAAAGTACTTATCCATAAAAGCAAAAACAAGCCAAATATCCATGGACAAATTTACAATGTTTAAAAAGCCCATTATCATTGTATATTAGAAAAATTGTGACAAAATGTAACATTTCAGCCTGAAAGCGCCAATATGCAAAAGGGTTTCTAGCACATCTGGCTTTCAGTGGATTAAGAAAAATTGTATGAAAGTGTTATTTAAATTTAGTAGTCTGAAAATTAGGCTTTTGCTATGACATACAGATTGTCACTTGAAGATTCATTGATGGAATGTTGAAAGGAGGCCAACTAGCAACAGAAAAGATATCGGTTTGAGGGTTCATTTACACATTGTATCTTTTGAATATTTCATGAACAGAACTTTCAGGTTGATAAGTTTAAGGCAAAATAAAACAATGAATAGGGTTTTTACTAGATATATTCTTACTTGTGTTAGGAAGAAATCAGATTAACCATACTATAAAACTAATGACAACAGGAGAGAATATAAGAAGATAAAATGATCCTAGGCTGATTGCATCGCAATGAGAAATTTCCTGCCCTCCTTGACAGAAATGATAATTCTAAGTAAGCTTTACAAACTTAAGGGATTGTTTGGATCAATTCCCGAAGGCCCAAGGAAAGGAATAGAACGGAATTTTGATCACCTCACCATAAGTTTGTTTGGTATGATATTGAGAACGAGTTAAAAGAAATTAAAACTTGAGTAAAAGAAAATTAATATTTTAACTTTAATTAAAGACATAAAAATGAAATGACCAAAATGTCCTCAACCAAAAAATTCCCTCTCCTGCTCTCTTTCCTCACTGGCAGCACAAACTACTTAGTAATTTGATTAATCAACATTTTGACTCGAATACAAACAAAATCCAGACAAGAACATAGAAACACAAAATTGATCGACTAAAAATTTCAATGAAAACTGATTAGAAACATAAATGTCCCCTGAACCTACAAGGAAACCCAGATGAATCAAATCCAACCTATGATTTGCAAGAGTCCAGGGAGTCCATAGCAACACGAGTCATATCTGCAACACCACTGAACCCACAATATGACGGAATCAACGGAAGATCTGTGATGCAACAGAACCCAAGTCTGCGAAAAACATGTTGCTCTTCTCACTGACATGGGAAATTGAAGGAAGATGGCCGTGGTGAGAGAGGACAGCGTTGCACCAGAGTGCCTACCACAACCCAGGATTCAAAGATAAGGAGAGAAAGGAGTAGAAGGATGTGAAAGAGGAGAGGCTGATGGTGGTACTATCAGGGAAGACATGTCACTGGTGGTGATGATGTCAACGGCAAAAGAGACTGAGGAAGGAAGGTTGGCATTAATGGTAGATGGCTCAACAATTTGGAGGGAAAAGAAGCCCTTTCAAAAACATGTCTGAGAGTGGGAAAGGCAATGAATAGGGTGGGAACTAGGAATGGGGATTGAAATGCTTTTGGCTATCACGATTGCCATGAGAAACACCATCTACAGCCTTAAGAGAAACCCAATGTAATTTCACTAGCAATAGAATCTGGATTGCCATTCCTCAAAAGGTCCTGGAATTGAACCAAACAAGCCCTAAATAGTCCAAAATTGTCCTACTTAAATAAAGGGAAACACTCCTATTCCCATAATAATTGAGTTTCTACTTCATATTTCAATTGAAAAATGCTATGAAAAGTAAAGAAATAGGAGAGAGAAAGAGGAAAGGGAAAGGGAAAAGAGTAATAGAAACAGAGGAGAATTAAAGAAGAGTAGAAGACCAAGAGAAACTGAATAATTTCTGATTACATTCCAAAACTGAGTTACAAAGAATGGCAAATACTTATTTATAAGCAAAAGTCCTAATAGATATAAATCTAAGTAAATATCCTTATATTATCTAAATATTATCTAGATATCCTAATCTATCCAAATCCTACTAATATAATTAAAGGCTATCTAAATCCTAATAATATTTATTTAAACCCTATTTATATAATATTTAAGTGTTTTCTTATTTATAATTATAATTACATAACAAAAAACAAAAGAAAATTATATTGAGACCAGAGAATATTCAAAGAAAGATAAAATACGAACCTAAATAAAGCATGGAAAAGAAAAGTGCAAAAGAAATGAAAACCAAGAATGCAGCAACTCCAGCCAATCTTTCCACAAATCACTAAAATATAATCTCACTGGTAAATCCATAGGGAAATCTTTGATACAACCAAATATGTTGTACCCATTTCCATGAATTGAAAATTATAGACTTCACTGAAGCAGTTTTCAAAGAATAACTTGTAACTAAAAAGAGTCTTTGAAATATTACAGTAAGCCCCATAAGCAAAGCTCTAAATTAAGTACAATAAAGAGAACGTTTAAGTTATATCTTCATGATGCTAGTGCACTAAGAATCAATTTGGGCCATAAACTTATAGAACATAAATGTTTACATTCTAGAGCTATATATCTGTGCAATAAAATAAACTTTGAATAAGGATACACCCCACTCAGAACTCCTGTTGAGTACTGAGTTAAACCAAAATACTTCAAATTCAGGCCACAATAACCTCTTCCAGAAAATTGAATCAATCAACATAGTAAGACCTGTTTAGGGCACGAGAGCCTCAAGGTCAGAAGATTAAAAAATTATTAAAAAAAATTAATAAGAAAAATCCTCCATGACAGTTATTGAACACATATGATCATGGTTTTTAACAGGAATTCAAAAAGTTTACTTCACCAACCTATACTGAAGAAAGCCATCCCAATGCAGTATTTCAGGGCATCCCATAATGAAATCTCTCTGGTCTTCCCTTCAAGAGATGGTTCTTATTAGGCACAAAGCTTAATTAAAATTTAAAATTCAAGTAGTCGCAACAACAAGTTGACCTATTTCACTGTAATTCCACAAGGATGGGGGCCAGAAAATAATAGGAAGACTCAAAGAAAAGAACTGCTATGTTAAAATTCTACGTACAAGGATTTCACTCAAAAAATTCTACATGAAAGGAGTATCGTTCAAAATGAAGGAACTTAGTACACTAATTGCTAAGTATTACAGGATAAGAAATGAACCATTAACATTCAACTGTAGGCACTGCTAAACATTAAAAGAAGGAAAAAAGGAACAGAAGATAAAAATAAAGCTAAAACAAACAAAATGACAATCAAACCAATAACCTGGTCTATCTTCACATCCTAGAGTCATAGCACCTAAAAGCATGCCCAAAAAAAAGATAGGTGAACAGAGATGTGAAAAAGAAAAAGGAGGCAACAGAAGAAGAAAGGTCAATGGAATTAACAGCTCAAACAAAATCAAGTTCCCTATGCGTCTATTTTAAAGGATAAAAATAAGTCAGGTACAACGTCAGTAAAACAAATGGATGCATTGGCTATTGGTTGCTTAACAGAAGTCCTTCAACCAAGCAATCATTATATTCAAACATACTCCCTCAGACTGATACAGAACTTTGCATATCAATCACAATTGTTTCATTGTCATAATTTTTATCTTCAAGTGCCTGTTAGCATCTATTTGTGGCACTTTTTATATTTTATTTTGAGGCTGTATCCCCTATGTGTGACAAAATCCCAAAGTGAATAATAGTTCTTAATAGTTATTTGTTATTGGAGTCCAATGGCTTCGTCCAAGTCATGCAGCCAGCCTCACTTGGTAGACTGAAGCTTTTCTTCTATTGTTCTATCCCCCAACGAGTAAGTAGGTGTTATGCATTTATTAGGATAGAGCCATCTTATTTAAGAGTAATATATTTTAGTTGGAGGAGGATTTACATCTTTCGACTGCAGTAACAATCTACTCTCCATTTATCATTTGTATATGCACACAGTTGGTATGCAATAAACAAGTTCAGAGGATTAAATTTCTCCCATTTAAATTATTGTTTAGAGTAAAATGTACTGACTCCCCGTGTATTCCATCTTAATTACAAAGATCACTCTTTTTAACTTGAAAACCTACATATTTCCTTTGAAATTAAAAGCTATATTAAGCAAATCCCCCCATTAATTTCAAGATTCCATAGTCTAATAGGTAAAATTATTAAAAAAGAAGAAGCATAGCCAGATATATGACATAAAGGTCTGCATTGTCACAAGTTGACATGAATAAGAACAAGAAACAGAAACTATGTTGTGCATTGAAGGAAAGGGCAAATCAAAATGAAAAATAATTTATAGAGGAAAGCAACATACCAGCAGAAGCTGCAGCCCAAGGGGGCAAAGAAGTAAAAGTATATCACATCTGAATACAGTAGTAGCAAAAATCTGATTATCAAGAAAAATACCAACATATTAATTCAGAGATGCTAAAGAGCTTTACTAACATCAAGCATTAGAGACAAAATATAATATATTTAATTATGAAAAGAAAACCATCAAACTTGCAATTTCACAGAAACTTATGCAAGACACTTGTGCGAACAAAATCTATCCACAAATGGGCAAATCACAAAAATTATTATTTCAAATGAAAGGGGAAAAAAAAAAAAAGAGTTGCTAAGCTCATGAACAGCTCAAGCATCATCTCCAGTACCAGCATTACCTGCATCTTCCACTCTACCTCTCCGGTAAAACCAAGATTCACCACTAGTAGAGTCAAAGTTATCTAATTCAAATTTGCAGTGGTTCAAGCATGGACATAATTCAAATGTGATTCTTGATCATAAGAAACATGGTAGTAACTCTTTCACCATCTGAAGAGTCCCATATGCTAAACAGACTTACACGAGGAGACAAAAAAAGATGCAAGTAAATGGAAAGGCCGCCTTATAAGTTGACTTTCTGATTCCTACCTTTCTGGAGAAATGTTGGTAACCTAGTTTGCTTTTGTGCGCTTTAGACCTGTGATTGTATTAGGGTATTTTGGGGGACCGTGTTGACCATTGTATGGGCATATAGTCATTGGTTTTGTGAATACTGTGGAACCTCTGAGTTCATCTAGCAACTCATCTATATCCGGAATAGGGAATTTGTCTGGTACCGTAATCTTGTTTAGGGCCCGATAATCCATGCAAAACCTCCAGCTTCCATCTTTCTTTCTAACCAATAGCACCGAACGGGAATAAGGACTGGTGTTTGGCTGTTTGATCCTCGCTTGCAGCATATCCCTTACCATCACCTCAATTTCATTCTTCTAGCAGTGTGGGTATCTGTATGGGCGCACATTCAGTGGTTGCTCCCCCGGTTTAATCACTATCGCATGATCTTGCAGTCTGTTCAATGGTAGCTTGTCGGAAGCTCGACACACCACCAAGTATTGATCTAGCAAGCTTTGTACCTCCTCAGGTATATTACCATAACCTTCCATACCGCCCTCTATGCTGCTATATTCAATGAGGAATCCCTGCCCTTTCTTTTTAACAGCCCTAAGCAGTGACTTCAGGGAGACTTGGGTGCGTGAGAGGAACAGGTGCCCCTCTAAGTAGACTCAGTTTCCTTCTAACCAATCTTCATGGTCAGCATGCCCTAGTTCACTTTCACTTCCCCTAAGGATTTCAACCACTCTACTCCTAAAACAGCATCAATTCCATTCAAGGGATATGGATAGAAGGTCTGCACTACCTCAATTCCCTGCAAATTCATATTCACCGCCTTGCACCGCTGTCTCCTCCATAATGTATACCCATCACCCATCATGATTGAATATTCACCGATCTCGTCTACCTCCAGTTGGATTTTAGCTTGAGTAAAGTGTCAAAGGAAGCCAATGTGGTGCACTGGGAGGGCATGAAAAGAGATATCCAGTAGTATGTAGCCGGATGCGAAGTGTGTCAAAGGAATAAATATCAAGCCCTTACACCTGCCGGTTTGCTTCAGCCACTTCCTATCCCTCAAGGAGTGTGGGAGGATATAAGTATGGATTTCATTTCAGGGCTACCTAAATCAAAGAGGTATGACACCATAAAGGTGGTAGTTGACCGGTTCACCAAGTAGCCTCACTTCCTACCACTCACTCATCCTTTTACTGCTAAAGACGTGGCTAAAATATTTATTCAGGAGGTTGTTAAGCTCCACGAGTTCCCTAGAACTATTATGTCAGATCGAGACAGAGTTTTCATGAGTCTGTTTTGGAAAGAAATGTTCAAACAAGCAGGTACACAGCTCTGTCTAAGTTCTGCTTACCACCCAGAGACTGACAGACAAACGGAAGTGCTCAACGGGGGGCTAGAAACTTATTTGCGGTGTTTCACCAGTGAGAAACCCAAACAGTGGGTGCAGTGGTTACCGTGGACTGAATACTGGTATAACACAACACATCAAAGTGCAGCAAGTATGACACCCTTCAAGGCAGTGTGTGGTAGAGACCCCCCGACATTCCTCAAGTTACACGATGAATGTTCCGTAGTGGATGCTGTAAATGAGCAGATTCAGGCGAGAAACGTAGTCATTGACACCCTCAAGGCGAATTTGCTTAAGGCTCAAGAACAGATGAGGCACCAAGCCAACAAGCACAGAAGAGATATGAACTTCAAAGTAGGAGACCATGTGTATGTCAAGATCAAACCTTACAGATTGCGTACCCTAGCTAAGCGGATCAATGAAAAACCGAGCCCACATTTTTATGGACCTTTCAAAATAGTGGAAAAGGTTGGAGTAGTGGTGTATTGACTAGAACTTCCTCCTACAGCCGGGGTGCATCCGATTTTTCATGTCTCCAACTTAAAGAAATCGGTTCAGCCAGCAATGGTCACTCCTAATTTTCCCACAGCTCTATCCGAACAATTGGAGCTGCAAGTGGAGCCACAGGACATTTGCAAGGCGAGGACACTAACGAATGGTATAACGAATGGTAAGTTGGAAGTGCTCGTAAGTGGAAATACCTACCGGACTTTGAAAATTCATGGAAAGAGGCTGCAATCATTTCTCAACAGTTTCCTAATTTTCCCCTTGAGGACAAGGTGAAACTTTTAGGGGTGGGAAATGATAGAGGCCATATGCCAAACAGACTTACACGAGGAGAGATAAGAAGATGCAAGTAAATGGAAAGGCCGCTTTATAAGTTGACTTTCTGATTCCTACCTTTCTGGAGAAATGTCAGTAACCTAGTTTGCTTTTGTGTGCTTTAGACCTGTGATTGTATTAGGGTATTTTGGGGGACCGTGTTGACCATTGTATGGGCATACAGTCGTTGGTTTTGTCCAGAGGAAAGGCAGGTCATATTTTGGAGAGTGTTTTGGTGAGGAGAGTGCTAGCCTCTCAAATGCTAGCTCTGGGAATTATTTTGAGAGTCATTGCTGTATTCTTTAGCTTGTAACCTCTTCCTTGTCCCCCTGGGAAGGCAAAGCCGATTAATATTATTCAGATTCAGTACTTTTCCGGTTCTGGTTCCTATCACCATCTAATTCAATCTTCCCTCCAATACAATCATTTTCAGTCACCCATCAATTATCAGAGGATCAATATATCAAAGTCACAACTTGCATTACCCTATTTCTTTCCCACTTCGATGATTCAAAAAACGTCACAAATATTGCACCACTCATCCTCTTCGGTGCAATATGAATATGAAGAAAACCAATATATATATATATATATATATATATTAAATGCCCTAGCCACAAGTTATCAAGCTCATGCAAAAGGATAAAAAAAAAATCTAAGTTTCTAGCATATCCTCACATACTAACATTCACGAGAATTAATATTTCGCACATCATATGAAACGGAAACAATGTGACATGCATACCAAAGGGTTTTTTTCCTTTTTGGACTGAGGCATACCAGAGAATTCAAAGCCGCATAAAAGTTCCCCTTGAACCAATATCCATATGCCAAATTGACTGCAAAGTAGAAAGTGCATCACCAAATGCTCACAAAATTTCCGGAAACAAGAATTCATTACATTTTGTAGCATAAAAGAAAAATCATTTGAAAATTTTTGGGGGTGGGGGGTTGGCAAAATTTTGAAATAAAATAGAAAAAATATATTAGGCTTGCCAATTTTATAATCAGCCCCAATCATCAAGGACCATATGCCACAAACTCATTAAGATTTAGATTACAAATTGTGCATTGTCAAATAATTAACCCCACGAACATCCAGCAAACAGGGACTGTCCCTTTCTATTGTAACGCATGGTACTATCAATTATGAGCAGGAGGAAAAGAGGAGCCAAGAAAACTGTTGAAGAGTCATACTCCAAGAACTTACCCACACCCAAAGCAAGTGTGTTTGGAAGCGGGCGTGTAGAATAGAATAACAAGTGAAACTGAATTGCAGTAAGTATCACAAAGAAGGCTTCTACTTGATGCCCGTATCTATCTCTTATCTGCATAACAAAAGCAAAAAATGAAGGAGAATATGGCCGACTTATTTTGATATTATTGAACATCATTTTGAACCAAAACAGGAACCAAAAAGAAAAAGAAAGCTTTTGAAATTATCTTCATCACAAGTGCGTTTTTGGTTTACAGTTTGTGAAAAGTTACATTTGCCAAACTAAGTTTCAAAACGGTCAAAATAACTCCCACTTGCATTTTCCAAATTGACTCTTCTATGGCTTTTAGGTTTTGTGGATAAGCTTCTGACAAATAAGCTTTTCCACCTAAACATCAGTTAAGTAGAAGTTCGTAAACGAATTTTGGAGTACCAGCAGTGATATTCAAAGACCCCCTGAAATAAAAATCAGTCAAACAACATACTAAAACCAAGTTGATCAATCCCTCTGCATACTAGACAATCAACTCCCTTGAGAGAACCATGTACCAGCACCAAAGACAGGCGATGAACAAAAGTACACAACCCTATCACCAGCACATTTGCTTCACTAGAGGTACCAATCAAAAAGAAGGATGGCCTGCAAAGCTTTTGCATGGATTATGGAAGGTTAAACTAAACAACCATCAAGAATATATTTTGTACGCCAGTAGTTGAAGCACTAGTAGATGAATCACATGAACCAATGTTTCTGTCTAAAATAAATCTTAGGCCAAGTATCACTTGCTAAGAATTCATCATCATGTCATCGAAAAAAATTTTAGGACACATGTAGGCCTCTATGACCTGTTTTTTATGACATTCAGCCACACCAATTCTCCAGCATCATTTCAAGAGAGGGGGGGGACAGGTTATTGAAGTCCATTCTTAAGACATTTATTTTCATTTTCTTTGACCACGTTTTGGAGTATAGTGGGTCATAGGAAGAGCATTTAAGACACTTAAGCATCAGTCTACAAATTCTCAACGATACCAATTTTGTTTCTTTGGTTGTCTCTCAAAGACTCTACTTCGTTTGCAAAGAAAAGTAAATGTGTATTTGGGCCAATCAATTCAACTACTTCAGTCAAGCCATCTCAAGGGTAGAGGCAAAGATAACACCATTCCCGTAACTCTCATTTGTTTACCAAAAAAAGCTGTCTTGAAATTCTTTCAACTGCTTCCCTCAATCACATAATCAAATAAAATGACACAGCTTAAAGAAGTTCCTGACCAACTTCTTGTGTATGTTATTTAACTATCTCTTACTCAATATCCACAGCTTGGGTTACTCACTGTTGGCGAGCTATTAGGACAAAGTGGGCCAAAGATATTTCTACTATTTGACTCAGAATAATGCTGATCCTATTCCCTGATTCTATGCAATTCTTGTCATCATCTATTTAGAAAATTTTCATCTCATTTTCTGTTTTGATTTTACCTCTGTAATTTCAGCTAAATCCCATACTTATTGTCTGGGATCTGTTCCTATAAACAGCAATACTTGTAAGTGGAATAAGTAGTTCCTTTCAGCATCAAAATCTTCACTCACCACAGAGCCAAACGCCAACCAAAGTCGCCAATACACAACTTTCATGGTCACAACTATCACAACACCCCACGTCAAACTACAAACGTTAGCCCCAACTTTCCATGGGAAAAAGAAAAAACCACTAATAAAAACAAACTACCACCATCACCATAACAGAACTTGACATCAATAACCCCTCTCCAGAAGAAGTAAAATATAATAAAGGACAAGATATAGAATAGGTATTGATGAAGAACTTCAGAAACATAACAAGGATATCAACCATATATCTAGAATGACTAGCAACGTCTCTTATTCCAACACAAATGATAGTTTCTTCAATCTAGGCGGAAAGAAAAAGATCACATTGCATGTGGTGAGGATTAGAATCATATGCTACAAAAGTTTATTGCCCTCATTGGCAACTAGAACTTTACCTAGTGAATAAAATAATTACTTGATGCAATAATTGCACAAGAAGAAAATCAGCGTAATATGCCTTATCTATGTCTTCTGCATTCTTGGGAATCCTATTCATGGAAATAAATTTCTTACAAACAGAATTTAACCCAAGCCCTCCCTTCTATAGTTCATAAAGTAGTTGTTTAATTGTTCGTACAGATGAATGTTCACATTTAGGCTTCAATATAGTAAAAGGAAGTTGCTTGGCATTGGTTTCATGACTGATTACAAAACCCTAAAAAGTCGATAAAAATCTGAACAATATTTTACAGTAAGAACTATTGCTCACCCTATTACCTTAAATATTAAAGGTTAGGCAGGAGTTTTCAGGTTGTGTTTTATAGTTTTTGAACTCGAATTGATAAGCTCATTGCTTCAAATGTGCAAACCAATCAAGGCACATGCCATTCACAATGGAGAAGGCACAAAAGGCATCTGACTTTTGGTGCCTCATTGAATTAAACACCTCTCATGCCGTGAGAGGTGCTGGACCTTTCTAGGACCTCAGCTCGAATCCTGGAGATGAAAGGTCCTGAGTTTATAATGATTGATAATTGAGAGTCAGGGATCTTGAAGAATGAAAAGCAAATACCTGACAACGAAAGAACCTTAGGGTATATAATATGATGCACCCCAGAGCCATTCGAACTGGGTACAAACAATAAGAACACATTAGATTTATTTATAATAGAAAAGTAAGAAAAGAAAAATAAACAAGTTATGCCAATGCTAAATTGGCATCTATGTTTCATCATTTAAAAACAAAATTACGGGGAGTACGCTATCAAAAGATTAAACTTCACTGCCAAAAAGAAAAAATGGTTCAACAAGCAATGATGGCATCAAGAAGGGGGGGAAAAAGTTACCCATTAAAAGACCGTAAAACTTTGGCAATTGCAGCAAACTCATAATCAACACAAATGGAGCCGCAAGAAGTGACACAAGCAAGGCACCTAAAGGATAACAAAATCCAAAAAGATAGAGGTCAACTTTAGTGATGACAAAAAGCTGTATAGCTTCAATAAAACTCAAAACAATCTGATCAGAGATGAAAATGCAGATTACTATGTTTCTAATACTGAATTGATCAAACAACCCAATAAAAATGATTAAGAAACAAGTATATTGCATTCCAAGTCATATGACGCACAAAGATTGGTTTATTTCTTCGGACAGGAACTTACTTCGTTAACAAATAAGTTTACTGTCTCAAATTGCAGTCTACTTTGGTTTTTTAATAATAATGTGAAGTTAGCAACGGGAACCAATTGCTTGATCCCCCTAGAATCACATAATATAATTCTCCTTTTATTATCAAATGGCGGAACAAAAGTTTGAACATAAGATCTGCTGCTAAAAGCCCACATCTGTAACCATTTGATTACCTTAGTGGTTGAATATAAATCTACTATCAGACCACCCTAATATCTTAGTATAAATCTTTCCATATAGATTATTCTTTATGATATCAATGCAAAAAGCTTTCAGACTACAAGAAAAGAAAAATGAAAGAAATTATAAGTCTTACCAATGAAAGTGCGAGGAACCACCCCAGGGAATTCCAGATGATCATACTATTAATAAGACAACACAAAATTGAATAAATTCACTCAAAAGTCTAGCGAAAGCCAACTTAAATTATAGAATTATGCTGACAGGTATAAACAACTAGACTCACATTATCCAAGTGATGTCGGTGATAAAGAATATCATGCATTGCCTTGAGAACCCAACAAAACAAAATGAGCAAACGGTCAGAATTCAGAAATGCAGGATTTTACCAAAGCCGAGCTATACAGTAATAAGTTGCCCATTTAATGAAGAATTTCAAGATAACTTTGACTCCAACACAGATAAAGCAACTGACTGCACTCTGGATAAAAAACTCAACTGCATCTTATTAGGTGCCAATATTTACCCTTAAAAAAAAAAAAAAAAAGGATGCCAGACTCAAATTCATACATCAAAAATAATACTTTGGGATGCATAGAAACAGCAGAAGAACAAACGACAACACTCATTACAGTTTTACGGAAGAGAAGCTCCTTGAAAAGGAATCACATTGTTGAATATAATGCGTAAGTCAATATACATCATTCAATCCCTCCGTTTAAAGCTTTTTCTCCAACTATACAAATACCCGCTACCCTCTGAACTTTTGATCAGTATATAAATTCCACAATTCATTCACCCTTTTCCTTTTCGGCTTGAGTTCAAAAAGAAACAATTTATCCAAATTAAATCACCCGACAAAGCAAGCTTCTATTATGCCATTTTCTGGCAAATAATTTCCCAGCAAAGAAATGCGAAGGGTGGGAAAAGAGAAGAGTCGAAGTCGACCTGAATATTGAAACTTTCCTCAACCTTGGTATACGGCGCCATGAGCAAATAGAAAGCAGCTATTGATCCCAACAGCAAATCATAGCCATAATGCTCCCAGAATTGAGAAGATTTTGAAGCCATTGTATTTGCAGCAGAGAAAATGAATACAGAATACAGACCAGCGACTCCACACTGGTCTGAGACTAAAACGACGGGAACGTGAATCGGCGAACTCACAGGTCTCTCTGCTCCTCCCCCTCCTCCCCCCTCCCTGCCTTTGGATCAAAGTTCTGGGTCAGGGCATAGAATCAACGGAGCCGCTCATGCTCTCCTGTTTTGCTTCGGCCCGGTGGACATTCAATAAAATTGCGAGGACAAATCGAAATCCTGCTTTCAACTAATTTAATTCTAATTAATCAGACTTGTTAATTCAGACTAGAGTCGGGAAAACGGGCCGAGCCCATCGGGCTGACCGTTTAGGCCCTGAAATTATGAGGGTCGGACTTGATATTTTTCTCTTAAAATGAGAAACAAGCCTTTGAGGGTTGGCCCTGGAGGGCCGAGGGCTTAAAAGGGCCAGCCCTGAAGGGCCGCGGGCCGGCCCTTTTAAGCCCTTTTATAATTTTTTTTATTTTTAAAATTTTTTTATATAATATTAATGTTATTAATTTTTTATATTGTTAATAATATTTCAAATATTTAGTTATTATTATCATTTTAAAATTAAATTTAGTTTTAGACAATAATTTATCCAATTAAATTTTTAAAAAATCGGTTAATTTGGACTTTAATAATGATTTGATTTATATTATATGCGTTGATATTTTTAAACTATATATATATTTGATAATAGAATATTTTTATACTTATATAACTTGTGATTCTATAATTTGAATTAGAAATTCATGAGTTTCAACAACAATGTTTCTCACATTAAAGTAAAATAATAGTTAGATTGCAAAATTCAAAAATAAAATTCTTATAAAGAAGAAAAACTTGATATTTTTGTTACGAAAGAAAAGTATACTTATGAAGAAAAGTAATCAATTATAGTGATGATGAAGTTTCAAAAGATTAATGATAGTGTTTATTTATTGCACAATTGCATTATAGATAAAACTTTTAGATGTTGTTATCTTGTTAATGAATGTTTTAGATGTTCTTAGATGTTGATGAATATTTATATATGATGATATTTTATATTTGTGACTTAATTTTATTTATATTTATGTCTTTTATTAATAATTTCATTGGTTTATTTTTATATTTTTATAAAAAAAATTGATAAATATAAAAAAATAGTATTTTTCCTTAAACGGGCCAAAAGCCCGCGGGCCGGTCCTGGCCCTGTAACTTAAGGGCCGAGCTTAGCAAATTGAGGTATTTTTAAAATTTCAGCCCTGGAGGGCCGGCCCTTTTAAGCCCGCCAGCCCTGAAGGGCCGGCCCTGATTCCCGGCTCTAATTCAGACCCCAAAAAAATTGAGTGAGTTAAAAGTTACTCGGTGCTTCGCCATTAGCAGCAGAGTTTGAGTTGTTCTTAAGTAATTACGGTAAATATTGCAACTTCATGTACTTTCCCCATCATAAGGCATTACTATAGCCATCTTAAAAGAGATACCAGTGAAGTCCTTAATATTGTTTGAAAATGAAAAAAGATAAAATTTACCCATATTTGAAATTATTAATTACATTTCAATGAGTGATTTTGAAAGACTGCATAAATGTTTTAAATAACGGAATTTTGAAAAATTGTAATCGATGTTATGAAATTAACTAACAATAAAAGTATATTAGAGAAGAGAAGTAGATAAAAAAAAATGAGAGAATGATATTGTATTCCTTCACTTGCTTCACTTTTATCACAACACAGTAACATGTCCTATTTATAGGTATAGTCTTACACATATGTTACACTTATACTTATATGATAGATAATGGATAATAAACTATATGAATATGAAGTGGAGGTGAGTTACAAAATTCAAGGCATAGTGGAGAAGTAATAGAATAGTGGAAGATTAATGCCTAATGAAAGTAGTGGGAGTTGATAAAGTTAAAAAAGAAGAGGAGATGGACATTCATAATTGATAATATTCATAACACTCCCCTTTGAATGTCTATTATATAAGGATATGCCTCATTAAAAACTTCAATTAGTAAAAACCTTGTGGGACAAAAACATAACAGAAGAAAAAGAGTACACATTTATTGATACATTATTCGATACTGTCTCACTAAAAACTTTGCTAGAAAAACCCAGTAGGGAAAAACCATAAACAAGAAAAAAAGAGTACAGCGTGTATAAACTTCCCTCTTGATAACATCAATTGATATCCTTGAGTCTATGACATCCAATATCAATTGATGTTATCAAGAGGGGTAGTTATATCAAATATTAACCTCAACCTAGTCAAGAACACAAGGCGGAGATGCAAAAGATGTATGAGGAGTGTGATGCCAGGTTTGCACAGGCTATGATAATGATAAGCATGGCCGGATTCCAGATACCCCGAGTGTCTGAACCTTCGTAAGTAATAATCACACATCTTCTCAAATCTTCTAAAAGTTCACTTCATCCGTTTAAACTTATTTAATATGCCTTAAGTAATTTCTTTTTATGTTTCAGGGTTTGGGAAGAGCAATAATAATCAGACGCAGCAGCTGACAGTGTTTGACCCTTATCCTAGCCCTGACCTTGCCTAAAACAATGGAATGCCATGTGCCCTCTATGTGGACTTTGAAGATTACGCTGTTCATATTGCTAATGGTTGAGCATTCTCAAGCACAATGATCCATGGCAAGAAAGCTCCGAAGGATCAAGCAAGGATGATGGTGGATAGGATCCATAGTGGTCAAGGTGGTACACCAGTGCCCAACCCTGCTGATGAGGTTCAACTACCGGCTCAAACTCAAGGAAATTTCATTTTGTGGCCAAAGAGATTTGTTGGAAAGCCGGTAGTGACGAAGAAGGCAATAGCAAAGAAGGCAACAAAGAGCGCATCAAATTCTGTCATCCTACCTCTTCCTAATGACAGTGCGGTTATGTATTTCAATTTGGTTCTTCTTCATTACATGGTGGCAAACATAGAGAAACCCCTTACTTTCAAGATGCCGTAAGGGATTGTGAGTTCAAATGTAACATATGATTTTATCATTGACAAGAAAGACCTCATTCAGTTCCTCAACTTTGAGGAGCTAGATATATTCTTTATGCAGCTGGCTATTTTGTAAGTTATAATATTATTTTCTTATTTCATGTTATACTTATGCATGTTCTAATATTTCTTATTTGAACAACAAACACTTTACTCAAGTGTGTCAGTAGGGAGGATTTGAAGGAACATATGGTTTTATGTGTCCTCAAAAGGTGCAGAAAATAGTCAATACTATGAAAGCGTGGTCGATCTCTATGATGACCACAATGACTCAGACGAAAAAGAAAATATATTTTGCACCTTACGTGGAAGAGTAATTGTATTATTGTATTTGAGATATACAAGTTATATATATAGGATTATAATTAACATGGTTCGTATTTTGCAATTATCATTAGACCCTAATTGTTTATGCTCTCTTTGACAACAAAGTTTATTAGTTCGATTCACTCTGTGGAGGTCTATAAGAAGAAACCAAAGATGTCATTGACACGTTAGTTTATGTTTACATATTTATTACATGTAAAGTTTATAAAAACATGCTCTAATATCTTTTTTTTTATTGCTGATAGGGCTTTTCATGGTTTTAATATTGTGGCCAAGCAGCAAAATAGGCAACCACCAACATAGATTCTCCTACAAGTATGTTGTTTTAAACTAAATATATGCTTATAAATCTTTTCAATAATCAAAGTTAATGTTTACAATTTTTTTTTTAGATAATCAAAGTCAAATATTCAATTTTAAATTTCATTTTGTTAGTACCGTTATTAACCCGGGAGTGTTGAATGCGAATATTATGTCATATGCTATATGAATAGCATCATTGAGACAGGGGTGAATAAGAAATTAAATGAGGTAAATATAGGTTATATTGCATACAATTCTTCAATTCTTTTCATATTTTTGATCAAGTTGACTAATGATATGTTATTTTCAATTTACAGGCATTATAAAATAGTGTGTCATATGACATGGAGGAAATCTACTTGATGAGAGATACTTACTACAAAATTTTGAAAATGTGAAATAGTTAAGTCATTCATCACATTTTAGTTTATTGCTTGATTATTAACACTAATTGAGTATTTGTTGATATATTAGGTGATTGAATAAGAATTCGATGTTAGTTAGGATAAGCATCTTGAAATTGTTCTGCATATTCTTCTGCACTTTGCTGGTTGATTTGGGTTTGTAGATTGCAAAGAGGCTGTAAAGAAAATTTACACAGAATTTTTAAAAAAAAATGGAGTTTTTAATGGCGGTTATTTTAATAACCGTCGTTAAAAGTTGTCTTTCCACGATAGTTTGGTCATTAAAACCGCCGTGAAAAATTCACTTTCCACGGTGTTTTGTTTAAAAAAATTGTAGTGAAAAGTTATTTTTTTATGACAGTTTACAATCGCTGTGTTTTATTCTCCTTACAATGTTGATGGAATTCACTGCGCCTCCAAAACCATCGTGGAAAACTCATTTTAACCGCTGTTAAAGGCCTTTTGTCTAACAGTGATAATTTGGGATTCATAACATCTGTGTGTGTATATGTTCCTTCGGTCTTAAATATTAGATTTATTTTGTAGTATAATTACATTACAAAATGAAAATCGGAAGAAGTATGTAGATACTTGGTTGAGTTCATAATTGATTTTGACATGTAGAGAGGTGCTCGTATATTTTCAAGAAAAGTGTGTTTTTGGCTCTCGTAAGCAATTACAAAAGCAAACCAAACATGCCCACAGTACTTTTTTCTCTCATATATTTCCTCCCCTTACTTTTCTCAAAAGATATCTACTTAAAAATAATTGAAGATTTTGATCATGAAATTTAAAATGTTACTCCTCTGATCTTATTTAAAAGTCACTTTCAATATATTTCACACAAACAAACAAAAACTTTAAACTTCATTATTACCTCATGGAAACCAAGTCAACGCAATAATAAATGAAGAGTAAAAACATCCATACAAAGAATTTCTTTCAGTGTTCTATAAATAGAACCAAAAAAATATTTTATCTCTCTGCCTTATAAATAGGACTAGAAGAGTAATTGTCAAAACAACTATGATTTTATAATATCCCTTATCTGTTTTTGGCCAAAAGTATCCTACATATAAAATAATAAAAGGCATCATAAAAGGAGAAAAATAAAAAATATATATAAATAGTTTTTACTTAATTTAAAATTTTAAACCCAGATAATTGCTCATCCACATTATTTTTA